TCCCACAAGGTTCTGTGCTGGGGCCTCTGCTCTTCCTCCTCTATATGCTTCCTCTTCAGCACATCCTGAGCTCCTTCAAAAGAATCTCCTACCATCTTTATGCAGATGACATCTGACTGTACATCTCCTTTAAGCCCCATGAGATGTCTAAGCTGCAGCTGTTACACACCTGCTTGGACTCTATCAAAACCTGGATGGTGGGAGCTTTCTACAGCTGAATGAAGATGACTGAGATCCTCATCTGTGCCCCAGACAAGCTGGTTCCCAAAGTCAGAGACTCTCTTGGTCAGCTTGCTTCTCACACCAAACCTTCTGTCAGGAATCTTAGTGTGACCTTTGACCCAGCTCTCACCCTGGATTCTCATGTCAGTTCTCTTGTTCGCTCTTCCTTCTTCCATCTCAGGAACGTTGCTAAGCTGAGTCCCATTCTGTCCCGCTCTGAACTTGAGACAGTTATCCACACCTTCATCTCCTCATCTCCACAGCATCGTTTTGATTTATTCTAATATCAATAAAAGAAGGCAAGAGGCTAACGTTGAGCTAACAATGCTAACAGTAACTCTCTTTTCACGTGTCTGAGCAGAACCTCCCTGAACCGTCTACAGGTGGTTCAGGACGCCTGTGCTCGGCTTCTGACCAAGTCCTCCAAACACACCCACATCACCCCGCTTCTCCTCCAGCTTCACTGGCTGCCAGTCAACTTCAGGGTTCATTTCAAGATCCTGGTTCTGGTCTATAGGGCCTTACATGGACAAGCACCATCTTACATTGGTGATCTTCTTAGTCCCTACACCCCCAGCAGGTCCCTGAGGTCCAGTGATCAAAGCCTACTGGTTGTGCAGCACCAGACTGAAGACCAAAGGTGACTGATCATTTGCTGCTGTGGCCCCTAGACTCTGGGACTCTCTCCCCCTGAGCCTGAGATCAGTGGACTCAGTGGTCTCCTTTAAAAAGCAGCTGAAGACTCACTTGTTTAAGCTGGCTTTTGTATGACCTTCATCACCACCCTCTCTTTATTCTGCTCTCCCCACCTATTCCACCTTCCTCAGGATCCACTCCCTCTTTCCTATTCACTCTCTTGCTTTCTTTACATTTTTAATCACAATTGTCTATTTTTGCTCATTTTAAATATATTTTTAACCATTTTCTAAATTCTTTTTTATATTTTACATTTTTTGTTTTTGAAGCGCCTCGTGATTTTTATCTTGAGCGGCGCTATAGAAACGATATTTTCTTCTTCTTAAATAACAGAACAACAATGAATACATATTATTACTACCTTACCTGCTGTTTACAGGGTGTTGTTTTCATGCCTTTTTTATGTTTTTCTAGAACTTTGGGGTTTTTGAGCAACAGTAAATGTGCCAATTAAAAAAACAGTTGACATTGACACCTGTCGGAAAAAAGCAGCAGTGTTTTGAAAAGATCCTAAGCCAATAAAAGGAGCAGCCCAGAAGTTACCTTTAAGAAGTCACAGCATCGTTTTGATTTATTCTAATATCAATAAAAGAAGGCAAGAGGCTAACGTTGAGCTAACAATGCTAACAGTAAATTAGAAGCAAGTAGTTGCCTCTAAAATTATATTGAGCTACAATTACCAACAACTGGATAGTACAGTGAAGTTTATTTTAGGGATGCAACGATACCACCTTTTTCCAAACCGATATGATACAGATACTTGGATCTGAGTACTTGCCGATACCGATTACCGATATTTCTACCACATAAAAAAGGGCTATGAATTGGAATCATCGACATATAAATATTGGACAATGGGTTTCCATAGGCTCCAATAACATGTTTTTGAAGACAAATGGGAGGTGGCCGCCACCGCCATTTTGACCGTGTAACAGGTTCCAAGCCCAGACAATTCCACAAAAGGGAAGAGAGGTGGAGCTGAGGGTGGGGCTGTAAGGCTGGGATCAACTGACGACACCCGGTCAAACTAGCTACAAGCTAACCTGAAGCTAACCCAAAGCTAACATGGAGGTGGGAGCTAAGCTAACGGAGGTAGCAACCTAGCTACAACCGGAGTTAACTGTGCACAACACCAGAGCTTCTGAGTCAGAGATACACCGGGCTGACCGCTGGGTAAAACCGGGTGGAACACAGAGGTCTCCCGAAAGCTGCTGAAAGCCGGCAGCCGCACAGCAGACAGAAGCCACGATCAGACAGAGATGCGCCGAGCTGCGTGGAGGGGAGAAACGGGTGGAAAGCAGAGGTCTCCCGAGAGCTCCACAAGCCGATAGTCGGAACCCAGCTCCACCAACATGTTATATTTCAACCCATTTTCTAAAGTGCAGCGTTATGGTAAATGCACTGGGTTTCACCCTATTACATTTAAATTTCATGGTTAAACAGTACATGTTAAAATCTAAGCTCAGCTCGGCAGTGACCTAAAATACATAAATATAATTTTACTTACAGAAAAAAATGAAGTGGAGACTCCTTGGATGCTCTGTTAGTGCAATTAATGCCACAGCAAGTCATTTTGTCCAACAATTGCACAAAAAATATCCAAAAAAGAATACACAAACACAGAGACTCAAAATCCCGGAGCAGTTTCCAAGCCAGACTGAGGCTGTACTGAGGCCTTTCCACGGAGCTAGCTTTGTGGTCACGTGGGTCGGATGCTCATTAATTATACAGAATGTTAGGCTTTTAATACACTTAAACAGAAGAGTGAGAAAAAAATTCACCCCCCTCAGAGTTGTCATGAGTGTAAACTAGATCATTTAAACCAAAAACATGTTTTGGAACCAGGCTGTAAACATGCTTATTTCTGCTGTGAAATTGGTATTTTTAACATGGGAGTCAATGAGGATTTGCTCGCTTCTGACACCAGCCCCTAGTGGATGAGGGTGGAACTGCAATTTTTGGTACTTCCGGGATTGGTTCAATTGTTGAGCTGCATTGTGGGGGCTTGATTGGAATACAGGTTTTATTTTTATCTCTGAGGAAAAGACTGTGAGGTACTGTAGATAAAGAGTAAAATATGTTAATATAAATGATCACAAAACTAAATTATTAGGTGAACAGAAATGACAAGTTACAGTGAAGCCACTTTCAAGCAACTGCATTGGTATCAGTTCCTGGTATAGAGCTCCGTGAGTTGACGTCACTTCTCCCGGCATGCAACAGTTCAAATCGAAACGGCGCCATATTGGCAGGCAGAAGCTGGACTATTTGTTATTGTCAGAAAACTCATTGTCAGAAAACTCAATCAAACGGGAAATATGGTAGATTCCTGTTGTGCCCCAGGATGCCGAACAGACGTGGACGACATAAGGAATGAGCCATCTACAGGATTCCCCAAGATCCGGAGCGCTGCAAACGTTGCATCATTGTAATAAAACACACTAGTGACCGGGCTAAAATGAAGCTGTGGGATCCCGAGAGTAAAGGTTTTCACTTATGCAGCGACCGCTTCATATCAGGTACTTAAACCAACGTTTCCTCAACTGTGTATGGTATTTATTTTAAATGCTTTTATTACGATTCTTAGTGGGCTTCCTAAACTTATTTTGGCGTGGCTTTTTCTGTCTTATTACTCATAGCAACAAGTAAACATCACGTAAAACGTTGCCTCGTGATTTCTGCGTGCTGCCGTTTACGTGTTTTATGATCACAGCAATTAACCGGCTAAGCTGTATTTAATTTTTAAGCAATGGTTGATCAATTGTCAGATCACACATAAAAAGCACTTTGGATTGCTATTATCTGTCTCACCGAGACAGATCTCAGACAGACCCTGAGACGCTCCTGCCTGACATATTTATTTTATTCACGGAAAACAATCAAACTAGTGATTTCTCTTGGCGTTCAGTTTATACATTCAAACAGCACAGCCCTCTATTTAAACTACTTACCTGTAAATCTGTTATTTGTCCATCCATCCATCCATTTTCATCCGCTTATCCGGAGTCGGGTTACGGGGGCAGTAGCGTCGAGAGGCCCAGACTTCCCTCTCCCCAGCCACTTGGGTCAGCTCCTCCGGGGGAATCCCAAGGCGTTCCCCCGCCAGGTCCTGTAAGAAGTCAGCTCCGACAGCTTCTGGCGTTTTTAAAAAGTATCCCAGGGGCACGGTAAGGGTCGGAGATGTTTAGTCTATTTAATTTCTGACTATATAAAACAATTTATTCGGTTTTAAAGTGTGAAGTAAACTCCAACGAAGTAAAATCCAAGCCGATCCTGTTCATTTTGTTTACCTTTGTTGCCATACCAACATGGCGTCTACTCTCTGAGAGTCACGTGACGTCCGGAGCTCTATAGGCTAACTTTCATCGATACCAATATCAGCACCGATACCAGTATCGGTGCATACCTAGTTTATTTATCTACTTGTCAACTTACTGTGTCTGACTTGTCTTTACTTGTTATCTAGAATTTTCTGGTGCTGATTGGTAACCAACAACAGCCATGAAACTCATGGAATGGGAGTGAGAAAGTCACTGGTTTTGTTTAGAAAATGGGCCGCAGTACCCACATTTTACCACAGGATGTCATTCTTTATGCACCTTTAAATTACAGCTCGTCTTGTCATATTAACATTTATTGGGGCAGCAGTAGCTCAACAGGTTAAGTGGGTTGTCCAGTAATCGGAAGGTTGCAGGTTCGATCCCGGCTCCGGACAGAGAATGCTGCTGTTGTGTCCTTGGGCAAGACACTTAACCTGCTGGTGGTGGTCGGAGGGACCGGTGGCACCTGTGCTCGGCAGCCTCACCTCTGTCAGTGCGCCCCAGGGCAGCTGTGGCTAAGTCGTAGCTCATCCCCACCAGTGTGTGAATGTGTGTGTGAATGGATGAATGATACACTGTAGTGTAAAGCGCTTTGGAGTCCTTACTCTGAGAGGCGCTATACAAGTGCGTTTCATTTATCATTTATGTTAACGTGTTACTCACATGTTTGCTTAAACATGAAAACAGCTTTGCTCTTCAGTGAATCTAAGTGCACTAATCTATGTTTCCGTCATTTCTTTTTGTTTCGCGTCTGTGTTCCAGTGGTCCTATGCGTTGGAGAAACCCAACACAGGCAGCGTGTTAAGCTTGGCCTGGTCTGCGGACGGCACCCAGCTGGCCGGGGCCTGCGGAAACGGACATGTCATCTTTGCCCATGTGGTGGAGCAGCACTGGGAGTGGAAGAACTTTGTCATCACACTCACCAAGAGGAGAAGCATGGAGGTAGAGAGAGAGAGCCTGAAGCACCATTGTTGCTCCTTTTCTCTGTGAAGAAGCCTAATGTTGTATTCTGGCTGGAAAATGTAAAAAAAAAAAAAAGAAAAGGTTTTAAATTTCACTTTTTGACTCTAAGGATGAGTTTATGGAAGTCTGCAGCGTTTTAAAACATCAGCAGTGTGCTGAATGTCAACTTTAAAGGCGGGTCAAGCCTTCCCTAGTTTTTGGAAGTTGTGTTCGCTTTTAAAGGCCGATCCTCTCAGGGCACCGGCGTGCTGCCCTTTGAACGGTCAGCCTGTCTCGCCGCCTCACTTGCTCCTCCACTCCCTACTGTTCAAACTCACGCTAACCACAAGGTAGCATTTACATGCGTTTAACACACCCAAGTGTATACACACACATCACAAAGGTGCACACATCTGCTATTGACAAGTGCAGTTGAAACCAAACAATGTTCGGTCATCAGCTGTTTATTTTCAGCCTCGCTGGAGCCTTTCCGTCTCTTCCTTGCACTCCCATATAAAAGCGCACATCTGCCAGTGGTTTGTGAATCAGCCGGCCAAATTTACCACCTTGCGGTCAAATGTTGTTTATTCCTGGTTGTGTTGCATGTAAATTTGGATTGCCAGAGCAAGCGGGAGAGGAAGATTTGTAAAGCTGTAAAAATAACCCCACCTTTCACCTGATGCTGGAAACAGCCTCCTCAGTCCTTCCCGCTGAGCTGGCCGGGATGTTTATCTATGCAGGTGGAAAAAAGAGCGCCCGCTTTTGCTCTCACTCTATTTCAGTGAAAAAACATCCGTCTTTAAATATAAATAAGGATTACTGGTCAGTAATCCCTATGAAATCGCCACCTTTAGCCTTTTTCTCCTCGTTTTTTCACAGGTGAAGAATGTGCTGAACGATGCAGTTGACATTTTGGAGTTTAGAGATCGCATCATCAAAGTCTCGCTGGCCTACGATCACCTGGTGGTCGCTACTTCCCTCCAGTGCTACGTCTACAAGTCAGTAGTTTCTTGTTGTTTATCTCCTTTAAGCCTTTACTAGTTTTTTTTTTTTTAATCAGATTTAGGTTTTTTGTGCAGCCAAGTGTGAAGCAGCTGGGATGAGAATCAGCTCCTCTAAATCTGAGACCATGGTCTTGATTCGGAAAAGGGTAGAATGTCCTCTCTGGGTCCGGTATGAGGTCCTGCCCCAAGTGGAGGAGTTTGAGTATCTCGGGGTCTTGTTCACGAGTGAGGGAAAACTGGAGCGTGAGATTGATAGGCAGATTGGTGCTGCGTCTGCAGTGATGCAGGCGTTGTACCGGTCTGTCGTGGTGAAGAGAGAGCTGCGGCAGAAGGCAAAGCTCTTGATTTACCGGTCGATCTACGTTCCTACCCTCACCTATGGTCATGAGCTTTGGGTAGTGACCGAAAGAACGAGATTGCGTATACAAGCGGCCAAAATGAGTTTTCTCCAAAGAGTGGCTGGGCTCTCCCTTAGAGATGGGGTGAAAACTCGGTCAGTCGGGAGGGGCTCGGAGTAGACCCGCTGCTCCTCCACATCGAGAGGAGCCAGTTGAGGTGGCTCGGGCATCTGGTCAGGATGCCTCCTGGACGCCTCCTTGGTGAGGTTTTCTGGGCACGTCCAACCGGGAGGAGACCTAAAGGTAGGCCCAGGACATGCTGGAGGGACTATGTCTCTCACCTGGCCAGGGAACGCCTTGGGATTCCCCCGGAGGAGCTAGCCCACGTGGCTGGGGAGGGGAAGTCTGGGCCTCTCGCCTTAGGCTACCTCCCCCGCGACCCGACTCCGGATAAGCGGATGAAAATGGATGGATGGAGGTTTTTTGTGCTTGAATAAAATTCAAGAGACAAAAATGAACAAAACTTAAAGAGACAATGTGTCGTTTTTAACCATTAATCTCTGGAAAAATACCGAAATGTTGTTGAAAATGAATTAAATGTCGCTGAAAAATATTGGCCGCTTTATAACATTTAGGCATAAAAATCGGGTCTAAAATACACAGGAGCGGTTCTAAGTCTCTGGGCGACGCCATATTAGACACCATGATTCCTTCTACGGGAGCCCATGAGGACAAAATGCACTTACTGATTTGTAACAAACGATTACAAAACTTTCGTCATTCATAAACATAATTTTACACATTTACCTCTTCCCTCATTGCCAGTGATGAAAGTGAGTCTGATTGCTGGAGGTTGTGCTCCCAGGGATTTTTGACCCTAATGGGCATCCATTGGTAAGGTCTTACTCAAACACAAAAATGCTGCTTGCTTACAATGATTTAGGTATGTATCACCAGGGGAAATACACACTGTCACTTTAAGGCATCTATTAGCAAAAATGTAACTGTTATTAAAATATAAAAATATTTTTTTGTTCTATGTGTGGGAGCTAAAAGGAAAGTCTGTCAGCTTCTATCCCCTTTACGATCATTATCTGTCTTTCATCACCGCTCTACAGGTGGAGCTCTTCATTAAGATTTATCTCCACTCTTTATTGATGTTTCCTCTCAGTTTTATTGACTATAACAGATGCTTCTCATCTTTTTTCCTGCCCCCCCACCTTTACCATCCTCTGTCCCGTGATGATACGTTCGAATGTTCGTAGCAGCTGGTTACTGACTGGTTTTTACCCAGAGTCTGAGCACTTGTCTTTGACAGTCCAAACTCTTTGTCATCATATTCCACAAAACTTTTTCCTTTCATCTGAGTTATTATTATGTCCTAAAGTCTTTATATAGATAAACATCAGTAAAACTGGACTTATTAGTTTCCTTCTGAAGCTGCTGCTTCAGCACACTTTTATAGCTTTGTCTTTGTCTTTACACATAAAGTTAGATTCAGGATGCTGCATCTGCTAGTTGGTCTCATTGTAGAGAGCGATTGTGTCCATAGGGAGAGTTGTTCTGATGGAAAACCCACCTGTCTGCTGTTTAGCAGAGAGTGGTTTATGCACTTCTGTTTTTTTTTTTTCATTTATTATTTCTATGATCACACATAAGAAAACTCAGTTTGTATCAGCAGTGTTTAAAGTTGCTAAAGTCCCGCACAAACCTTTGATAATCATTTTATTTGTGCAAAAGATATTTGTATCATTTCCGTATTGTTAAAAGCTCACGTCGTCGTCGTCTTCCTCCGCTTATCCGGGTCCGGGTCGCGGGGGCAGCATCCCAACTAGGGAGCTCCAGACCGTCCTCTCCCCGGCCACCTCCACCAGCTCCTCCGGCAGGACCCCAAGGCGTTCCCGGACCAGATTGGAGATGTAACCTCTCCAACGTGTCCTGGGTCGACCCGGGGGCCTCCTGCCGGCAGGACATGCCCGAAACACCTCCCCAGGGAGGCGTCCAGGAGGCATCCTGACCAGATGCCCAAACCACCTCAACTGACTCCTTTCGATCCGGAGGAGCAGCGGTTCTACTCCGAGCCCCTCCCGAATGTCCGAGCTCCTCACCCTATCTCTTAAGGCTGAGCCCGGCCACCCTACGGAGGAAACTCATTTCGGCCGCTTGTATCCGCGATCTCGTTCTTTCGGTCATTACCCAAAGCTCATGACCATAGGTGAGGATTGGGACGTAGATCGACCGGTAAATCGAGAGCCTGGCTTTCTGGCTCAGCTCCCTCTTCACCTTTTCGATCTGTAAAAGCTCACGTGCCCCCCTAAATAAAGATCCGGACCACCAGGTCAAGAGTCAGTTCCCCCGTTATCTAAGTTAGTAGAAGTTTATCTTTCTAGTTTTACAAACTTCAAAATGTGTTAATTGTGCTGTTTTATCTGCCCCAGCTCACGAAACTGGAATACCCCTCTGATCTTCGATCTGAAGGAGGGAACGGTCAGCCTCATCCTGCAAGCAGAGAAGTGAGTCTTTCAGCTCCACGAGCGGTGCAACAAGAGACAGAACAGACTGTAGGATCATCTGTCAGCTTCTCTAATGCTTCATTACTCTCCACTGGCCACTCATCGAGCAGCAGACACACACACACACACACACACACACACACTGGGTGTGCTCTTGCTTAGCCCCTGTCATACAATAAGGCTGAGAGAGAAACCGCTGGAGGAAATTAGATTAATATGGAGTAGCTCTTGTGCAATACTCCAGTGCCGTCTCTGACACTCAGCATAGAGCTAAAGTGATTACCGGCTATTTTGTAATCGCAGCCGAGTTCGATGCATCTCACTTAGTAAGTTAACGCCGCATTAATGTGCGACGCATTATAAATTACCTGAATGTGTCAGTTAATCATCACTTCATTCTTTTGTATCCTAACATTTTATCTATTTCATTTCTCCCATTGCCCCTTTTAGTCCTCCCTCTCCCATCCACGTGTGAAACGAAAATCCTTTGCGGTGTTTTAGTCCACTCTCACTCGCTGTGTCCCAACTTCCTCTCTCAGATATATTTTACTGGTGGACGGGTCAGGGTTGTACACTTTCTCCTACGATGGTCGATTAATATCCTCCCCGAAGTTTCCTGGAATGAGAGCCGACCTCTTAAATGCTCAGAGTGTCTCACTTAGCAACGACACCGTCGCCATCAGAGACCAGAATGAGGAAAAAGGTGACGTGGCCTCTTTAAGTAGTCCGTTTTTTAAAAAACAAAAGAGAAAGAAGAAAAGAAAACTGTACCTGGTGCTTTTATCATGGTCTCTTTCTATTTTTCATCTCAACAGTCATCCTTTTTTTTGACATCATGAGTGGAAAATCTGTTGGCGATGGGAAACCCGTCACACACAAGGTGGGTGATCCTTGTTCAGCCCAAGTGGCAACTAGAAAATGATCCCACCTCTCGGTTTTAGTTTTTCATTTGTTTTCTGTTTAGACGGGAGGTTGGAATTGGAATAGCTTCTCACCTTTTACATGATGGAAAATACTAGGAATGAAAGAAAATATCGATAAGACAATATATGTGAAATCTTTTCCTGCAATATTATATCGATATTCAAAAGTTGTGTATCGAATTTTTGGAAGAATTCACATGCAAACATTTATGTATTTTCTTTTCTTTTGAAGCAGTTCAAATGCTGACCACTAGTTGGCAGTAGTGAGCAATGAGTTATGTTTTCACCACTGAAATGTAAATCTCAATTATGGTTCAGATACCTCATGTTAAAGAGCAAGTCACCCCCTACCAGATTCTTACTCAACTCCCACTTCCTGTTTGAAAAATGCATCAAATGCTGTTGCCTAGCAGACCGAGAGGGCGGAGCCGCTAACAAATACACACACTCACGACATTGTGACATCATAATAAACCATCTAACACCATAGTGTACCTCTTAGCCAATAGCGACGGCAGATTTAAATTCAAATGCTGTGCAGAGTTTTTACCTGACGACGGTGCAACACTGCCAGTTTTAGGCAGAATATTTAAATTTTAACTAAGATGCACTAAAGTGCCGAATTATTGACTACACGTGTCTGCAGCAGGATCACACACTCATTTATATAGTTTATCAGCAAAAAATGTAGATTTGGAGTGACTTGGTCTTTAAATGGTAAATGGCCTGTATTTGATATAGCGCCTTCTGGAATCCTGGAACCCCCCAAGGCGCTTTACAACACAATCAGTCATTCACACATTCACACACACATTCACACACTGGTGGGGATGAGCTACGATGTAGCCACAGCTGCCCTGGGGCGCACTGACGGAGGCGAGGCTGCCGAGCACTGGCGCCACCGGTCCCTCCGACCACCACCAGCAGGCAACGTGGGTTAAGTGTCTTGCCCAAGGACACAACAACAGCGACAGACTGAGTGGGGCTCGAACCTGCAACCCTCCGATTACAGGGCGAGCACTTAACTCCTGTGCCACCGTTGCCCCAACATGTTATGTATCAATCTGGACTGTTTATTGAATTTTCCTACAAAAACTTAATTCTAAAAAAAAAGAGCTAATATCGTCTGGCTGAATGTATCGCAATATATCGTGATATATCGTATCGTCTCCGCCGTATCCTGATACGTATCGTATCGTCAGAATTTCACCAATACGCACCCCTAGAAAATACCCAGAACTAAAGTAAAAGCTAGCAATGCTTCTTTCGTGTCACTGTTTCAAATCAGAAGGGCTTTATTTCCATATGTGCGAGAAATCACAACATTAGGAAGTTGCTGCCGTACTTTGTGCAAAAATAAATATAAAAGTAAGAGATAAGCAAATATAGGAAGTAAGAATATAATCACGATAAAATAATAATATAAAGTGGCAATAATTAGAGATACGGCTACTGTTTAAGTTACTGATCAGAGCAGATGAGTTCAGGTAGTAACACAACACAGGGTCATGTGACTGAAGTGACTGGAGTGGGCAGCCCTAGGATTGTCGTTCATGAGTCCAACAGCAGAGGGGAAGAAACTGTTCTTGTGGCGAGAGGTTCTGGTCCGAATGGATCTGAGCCTCCTGCCCGATGGGAGCGAGTCAAAAAGGCTGTGTCCAGGGTGACACGGGTCAGCTGTTATACGACCTGCACGCCTCATTGTCCTGGAGGTGTGCAGGTCCTGTATGAAGAGGAGTTTGCAGTCAATGACCTTCTCGTCCCTGGTGGTAGCTCCAGCATACCACACGGTGACTGAGGAGGTGAGGATGAACTCGATGACCGCGGTGTAGGACTGCCTCATCGACTGTGCTGGCAGGTTGAATTTATTCAGTCAGGATCATTTTGGGTTAGGCTGGCTCTGAGCCGTATCCTTTCAATGTATAAATGTGTAAAAAATATAAACCTTCTTTCTAGTTTGTTCGTGTTAAGTTACTTTTCCCTTTTTTGTCTTCTTTATTCATTTGTGTATATTCCTGTGTTTATTTTCCTAGTTGGAGGTGGTGGAGATAGCTTTGGATCAGTGTGGCCCATCCAGTGAAAGAAAAATAGCATTTATAGACAAGAACCGCGACCTTTACCTGACCTCTGTGCGTCACCTGAGGAAAGAACCCAAAGTCTGCAAAATAGGTGACATGAGCAGGAGAAATCTTTGTAACACGATGAACGGTTATCGTCTGCTTTTATACACACGTAACAAATAACAGATGTGTATTCTGTGTTTTAGGGAGCATGGTTCATAGTATGGCTTGGAATGACTCTGCTAACATCTTGTGTGGAATCCAAGACCATCAGTTTACAGTTTGGTACGACCCCGGCGTTGTCTTCACCGACAAGGAGCTTCTGTCAAAAATACTTTACATTAAAGACGGCAGGTAAACATTACTGTCCACCATAATGAGTCATTTAAGCCTTCCACCACAAGGGCAGCGTCTCTCTTTTTAAAGGGAGATTTGGCCGTTTTGGCTTGCTTTTAGCACCCCCTAGTGTCAGTTTATTAGAACCAAAAGCAAATCTTATCTCCTCGCTGCGCTTTTGTCTTTTTAACACCTTCATCTAACAGCTGAAATGTCTCCCAGCCTTCATTAGTGTCTACAGGAGTGATTCATCACTAAATCCAACAAATCAGCTGTGTTCGTGATCTAAAGCATGCAGGAAACGAAGCAGACTGCAGCGCCAGGTATGTCATCTGCAACAGACCGGACCGGCACTCTAAACTTGCAAATGTGGTATTGTGGCCACAGAGGGCAGTGGGGGGTCTGAGTGACTCTTCGTTAACCCTATAAAGTGTCATTTGAGCGCATGCTGGCTCAAGAAAAGGACTTTAACATATGAAATGGTTGCCTAGTATCACTTTGAATGTTAAAGTCAGAGTTTATGGTGTAATTGTCAAACCTGGTTGCAGTTTTGATTAAAAATTGAGAATAAACAGGAGGATTTATAAAGTAAAATAATAATTTTTTGCACCTTCCAGCTCATTCCTTGAGGTAAAGTGTCTTATTTACTCAGTGTTGCCAACAGCTGTCAGACTGCACAATGCTTCCTGCTCAAAAGTCCTTTGTGTCAGCCAGCTCAGGAGGTGCTCAGGCAGCGTGCCTGCTTTCAGGCACCCTAAAGCCTCTTTTTTGCATGTCTGCAACACTGATCTGTATACAGCAGTAAGAAAGGATAAACTCAGGCCAGCTCAGAGGCTGGTGGAGGCTGAAGTTTCTCTTAAGTAAAGTAATAATTCAATAATTTGCTGGAAATAACTGATCAAACCTTGGTGGTAGCTCTTGTGTAACAAAACAGCTAGCTTCTCCTGCTACTTTCTTGACTTGGCTTCAGTGCATCAAAGCTAAAGGCCTGCTGGGTGGGACTGTAGTCAGCTGATGTTTGTCTCTGTAGTCTGAATCTAAACTGCACAGAATGAGCAGAGAATTTTCCCAATTGTCCAAAATCACAGTCTAATAGAAGTAACAGTATATATAGTTTAGATTGATTGATTTTTGATATTTTATCTTGTTGTTATCCAATTAATCATATCTGTTAGGGATGAGCGAGTACACCACTATCTTTATCTGTTTCTGTTCAACCATTAAATTATCCGTATCTGTACTCTGAGTGGGCGTGGCCTAACCCGGAAGTGGGTGTGATTTACGTAAATACATTATTTTAAGTCTAAAATTGATATGGCTTGATCAAAAGTTGAAGCAAGCACAGAGAGATTCTTTACTGTCTGTGTGTGTGTGTGTGTGTGTGTGTGCATGCATGGGCCAGACGGACTGAGCTCCCGGCTGCAGATTTTTGTGTGTAGGGAGGGGCGGGAGCTCTATGTGACTGGCCAATCACAGAACATGAAGACAGTCAGTTACCCTGTGAGGATTTTCCTTCAGCACGATTAAAGATATTTTCGAGCTTCACTCGTTTCATGCTCGCATTTTTGAAAAATGCGTTATCCATACCGGATACTCGTCTAAAATCCTGGCGTGCTGTTCTGTTGGGACTTAGAAAAAATGCTGCAGTCTGCTTCCAGCACGTTTCCCTTCATGTTTTAGATCATGAACACAGCTGATTTGTTTGATTTAGTGATGAATCACTCCTGTAGACACTAATGAAGGCTGGGAGACATTTCAGCTGTTAGACTAAGGCAGTGGTC